TGTCTGGATTTTTTTTGTAAATATTTTATATTTGAAAATTAAAACAATCCATAGGGTATACATTTAACTTTCATATGTCTGGAAAATGTGTGTGTGTGTGTGTGTGTGTGTGTATATATATATATATATATATATTCTTAAGCAACATTGTAAGAATACCTCAAGAGATTTTTGTATCTTAAAATCTTGCATCTAGTGTCCAGTCACCATTTTTAATTCCCAACAACATTGCTCAGTAAAGAGCCGATTCTCATTTACTTTAAGGCCACTTTATACCATGGTGGTAGTGTAAAGGGGCCTTAAGGTGTTAATTAAGCTTGTTTTGCTGGTGCCTAGAGCCGGCCCTGAGTGTAAGTTGTGGTTCTAGAAGTAAGCGTTCTCTTATATGAAGCACTGTTGTTTTCTCAATGAGCTGGTCTCTAATCATTTCATCTGCCATATTCCCAAAGTCACAAGTTACAATCAGACTCCTCAGGGAAGCCATATACTGCATTATAGTCTCCCCTGGTTTCTGCTCACGCTGGCGAAATCTGTAGTGATTAGCTACTACTTCACTTTTGGCATAAAAAAGTTCTTTAATGCAGTGAGTTCAGTCTCATATTTATCATCTGCAAGGGGAAAAGGGTAAAATATACGCTGCCCTTCTGCTCCAAGGCAGTGGATTAGCAGAGCACGCTTTCTTACTTCAGAAATCTCTGTAGCACTGATTGCAAGCAGATAAGTCTCAAACATACGGATCTAGGCAGTAAAAGCAATTGGAGGCTCACCTGGGCTTTGCAGAAAGGGTGCAGGTGGGTTCAGAGGCAGAAGATCCCACCCTCGTCGCCAAAATGTTGTATCCACCAAGCAAAGTATTAACAACTTCAACAGAACTTTATTTACAGTGGAAGTCTCTTTTCCAAGCTGTAGCTGCACACTCTGTAACTCTCCCAGCCTCCTCAACTCCTCCCCCCTCCTTCCTGTTTCCTGTCCTTTCAGACTCCCAACAGCCAGTGCTCCCAGTTCTAATAATCACATGCAGCATCTAAACACCACACCCATGTTGGGAGCTAGAGCAGCAAACCATTGTGAGGCACCCAGGGTTGCAGGGCAAGTGGTGCCACAACCCCTCATTGGTTTGGATTGCTCCCATGAGTTGAACAACTGTGACAGTAGGTAAGGTCTAAGGATTGCAGAACACCATTCTTACAGTACCTCTGGTTAGATGTACCCAAATTATGTAGTCATTTACATTTACAACAGTGACTGTCACACTGAAGGATTCCAAAGCCTTTTACAGAGAGTATTTATTGTCAGGGATCACTTCCCCCAACCCCTCCCAAACACTGAAGTGCAACTACACTAGGCTAGAACTGCCTGACTACAATCCCTCTTTAACCATTACCATCGGATACCACTTGGTAACTGAGATGCCTGGGATTAGAATCAGGTGGCCTAACAGAAAATGACATCTCTGATTCTAAGTGAGTGTTTATTATTTGTGCAGTGCCCACATTACAGTCAGCACAAGATGACAAGATATTTGTCCCAAAGAGCTTGTAACCTATTAAACAGACAGTAAAAGGAGGGAGGAACAGGATGGATGGATCTGAATGGTGAAGTTAAGCAAGTCTCTTGTAGCTCCTTGATTTTTGTAAGTAAACCCCAGGAAATGTTTTGGGGTTGGCCATGGCGGACCACTCTGATAACTTGAAGGTCAGTTTAGATGTAACCTGAAAGCTGGCACTATCTATTTGCATCAGGCCCTTTGTAGTAACAACTGTTTTGCTTTCAGGTATGGCAGGGGTGATATTAGAATGAATTCCTACTACCATTAAATTTCTTCCTCTCGCTAAAAATGGGAACAGTTGATTCTTCTTTGTTTGGAGAAGATTCAAAGATAAGTTCCCATTTAGTCCAGATGTAGGTAGTTAATTTAAAAAAGGGAATTTAGTCTCGTCTAAAAGAGAAAGGGCCTGCAGCCATAGTACCTTCTGCTTTGATCTTTTCAGCTTTCATAAGATAAGCAGGGTTCTGCCTGATCAGTAATTGGATAGGTGATCTTAAAAACAAAAACCAGGCATTTTAGTGAGTGCTATTGCTGCTGACTCAGGAGGTGCACTCTGCCCACTGTGCTAGTACTGGATCATTGCCCACGTAAGATGAAAGTGGACATGGTTTGTTTTGTTTTTTTTACTGGAGGTGCTGGACTTAGGAAGAAACTAAACAAAGGCTCCGAGTTCTAATACTATGAATTTATGCCTCACCTTGCAGCCAAGGATCTCCAAACTTTTATGTATTAATGAATTAAATCTCACAACAAATTGGGTGAGAAAGTATTATTCCCGTTCTATAGAGGGGGAAACTGAGGAACAGGTAAATTAAGTGACTTGGCTAACATCACACAGTAAATGTGTAGCGTGGACAGGAGTTTATTCTAGATTTTTCTGAAAGCCAGTCCCTCTAATCCCAAGCAATAAAACATGTTTCCGCACCAATCTACCTACACTTCTTGTGCAGTTTCAGCATAAGATGTTTCTCACTTTGCCTCCTAATCATTATTGTGTTGATTTGCTGTTGCGAAAAGTCTGCTGTATTTCCACCCAGTGGTAGGTGTTGAAGTTACCATTGTACAGAAAGTGTGAAAAGCATTTTGGGGCCTCTCTTGATCAAAGGTGCTAGAGAACTGCAATGTATTTTATAATTCTCACGGAGCAGTATATGCATCCGTTCAAATTCAGATTTGTTTTTCTGTTAGTAATAAATTAGTATTACCCCTTCTAGTTGCTGTCGCCTCAGTCTTTGCTATCTTTAATATGAGTTTGCAGTTGTCAAAATGAATAATATGCAACATCAATTTAAATCTCACTTTTCAGTATGTTCCGCTGTAATTATTTCACTTTGTCTTGATTCTGTTGATTGCTGTTAAATTCTAGATTGCTTGAAATTCTTTGAGACTATCCCGAAAGTATCAATTATAAATTGAAGGCATTTATTAGAATTTATCCTGAGACAGAGAACTCTCACCCAGCTGGAAAAGGCTTCTTTCTATATCCTGCACTTAATGCAGAAGAGTTATGGAAACATAATCTGCCATTTGAGAAAGTATATTGTTTTAAGAATAAATATTATAAATGCCTATAGAAATTAAAAAAACAAACAAACCAAAAAACCCTAAGTGAAGAGGGTGGACAGAGGCCAAAAACTGCACACAACTTCCTTTTTGTTAGTCCACATGCTTCTTGCTTTCAGTGAGGCTCTGGTTGAAGTCATTAAAAGCAAGTTGACCTGGAGAATGTAGCCTCGAAAAGCGACACATCTCTGCCCACTCTATCTGTGATATGCATTTTGAAATTTAAAGACAACTTCCCCTTGAGTCTGAACCGGAACATCAAATCTCCATTTCTGCCCGTCACCAAGTTTTAATGGATATTAGGTTGTGGCGACGCTTTCTAGGAGACTTGTGATTCCTGGATGATTGTGTATGTTCTGGTGGCTGAGACTTGGACCCTTTGACAATAAAGTGTTTATTTCCCTTCTTCATTAGCATTAAGGCCATCTTTTAAATGTTTGTCACTATTCAGACTAAACACTATTCAGCCCCTCCCCCCCCACTAAACACAACTATCACAGCAGAGATTCATACCCAGGAGTATCTGACAATAGACAGTTGTAGTTTAAAAAAAAACCCTTTTCAACTAGTTTGCTGAGACCAATTCTGAAAAGGGGCTTAGAAAGTGGTGGCTTTATACAGATTAGCATGAGATTTAAGGTTCAAATTTTGAGGTTGAATCAGGGTTAAAAAATAGATTGACTGTGAAATCTTATTGGCTGTTCTTGTGCAATTTTGACCCAGAACCAGGGTGATCTCTGGATTTTGTTTATAATATGCCTGACAAATACATTCAGGATTCTTTACATCTTATTTGTTATTTTATAGATTATTCTCTACCTACAGCAAATCTTGTACCTAAACTTTAAGATGACTTTTGTACAGCTGTTAAAATAAAGTGTTAAGCAAGTTTCGTTTTGGTCAGATGAAAATGAAGGTGTTTTCCTATGTCTTATTAAAAAACTAATTGCCACTTTCTAAATCCATTTTTAACTTTATAAATTTAAATGTAAAGAGCAGATTTTCTGTTCTTCAGGTTGAAGTCAGATTACATCTTCCAGTATTGAGCATTAATCCTTCCTGAAAAAAAGCTAAACTTGGAATCAAATTGTTACCAAATGTGTACTAAGTTTTACTGATTCTTTTGCTGAATTCCAGTCAGATGCATACATCCATAATGTCTTCTTACTAGTAGCAGGAAGCCTGGATCTTTGTCCTCGATCTAGATTGTGACCAACAGTTATTTCAGGGATGGCCCAATAAAAAATAAATATTACAGCCCTAATTGTGAGCAGGCCTCAGCCTGGGCTCTAATATTGCAGATGCAATGTTGTACTTGCATATGTGGGAACAATTCTTTGCACTTAAAGTTTACAGGTGGAATTTGTAACTTAGCCTTCTAAATGGGTGCAATCACAGGATACAAATAAATTAACGTGCAATTTTACACTCACCACTGATATTGTAAGTTGTTTTTGAAAATGTGTGAGTGACGGGATCCCAGAACTGTGGGATCGCTGTGCCCCCTTAACTTTCCAGCCTGGGCTGTCTCTCATGATGTTTTGCAAGTGACAAGCAGCATACCTCTCCGGATGCTGTGATCACTCAGTCAACAACATGCAGGGACATACCCAGCTAAATTGCATGAATGCTCTCTAAGCCACCCATGAACTATATATTGGGAGACACCAACAAATTCTCCCAGTTTTGCACCCCACAAATGTACCATCTTACATTGCTAAAAACCTTCTCTTGAACAATGCAAGCTCATTAATTGCTTGCCACTTCCACAAAGAATAGTGGACATGCACTAGCCTTTGTAATCTGAGCAGAGTCCCCAAGCACTTTAGACAAACTCACCAGTAAGGATAAAACATTAAAATAAGTTTATTAACTACAGAAAGATTAATTGTAAGTGATTGTAAGTGGTGGGTATATGAGATAAAGATGGTTACAAAAGAAATAAAAGTAAAATCACAGTCTGAGTCAAATCTTACTTAGTCTGATAAAGTTTAGAATTTAAACAGCTTTTCTCACCCCACTGAATGTTGCAGCACGTTACAGTTTTTAATACACAGGCTGCATTCCCTTCTCAGCCTGAGACCAATCTCCCCAGTTCAAAGTCTTTGTTGCCTTCAGAGTAGGTGGAGGAGGAGGAGAGGTCATCTCATGATACCACTGTTCCTTATTTTATATTTTCAATTAATTCAAATCAATTCCCAGGAAAGATATTGGCCTAGATATGTCCTGGTGGGCCTTGCTGAGTCACAGCATTGAAAAAAATCTTCATTGTGTGGTGCCTGCACACCACACAATGCAATTACAGAATTGTAAATCTCTTGTTTACAATTCCCTGCTGGTCAATGGCTTGTGATGACCGCTAAACGCCTGTTTGGGTGAGGGTCACCTCCTTTGTTGCCACTGGAGAGCTAGCTATGGGTGTCTCCCGGACACACAACATATTTCAATAATAACCATATAGCAGAATATCATAATTCCATATACAATGATGATACACATATATTGACAGAACAATGAGTTCAGTAGATCATATGTCATCTTACAAGGCATGCTTTGAATGAAATATCACAACCATATACAAATGACAAACATGGGAGTTAAAGGGGGCTACTTTGAGGCATGTTTATGAACCTAAAACTTTAGCAGATTTGATGCCATTTTAGCTGCCAGTTGGTACAGCATGTTAAGCCTGGGGCACACTAGCACCAGTCTTTTATGCACCATTCCTTTAGACAGTCTTTCAGAAAATGCTCGTTATTCAAGAATTAAAGGCTAAGATGGGTCAGGCCTTCTGCAAAAGTCATTTTATTGCTAAGAAGAGACAGCTACTTTGGATAGAATGGGTCAAATAATGAAATGTCTGATTCAGAAATATATTTGCATATAAGTAATTCAAATTTGGCTTGCTGATACCCCTGGGGTCAAATCTGAGCATTCATGCAAATGCTGATGAATCCAGAAAGTTTAATGAGTGAAAAAAAGTCATTTTATATTTGCCCCCTTTGTGCTGAACAAAACCAACAGTTGCATCTTGGGGCCTCTTGTGTCTGGTGGCAAAGGGTGATTGACTCAGACACAGCAGGAAGAAAAGCAAAACAATATAGTAATGTGTTTTAAATAGGCCACAACTTTATTGATTCAACTCTAATAAAATACTAGGCAGGAAGAAGGCCAGCGTAGATCCACACTCACTTAGTTTGCAGGACTATCTGTGAGGGGGCCACCGCCTTGAATCGCCCTCATACCCCCAAATTAAAAAAAATGTTCCAACACCAGTGCTGAATCCCTTGCTCCTCTTCTCTTATGTGAGGATACAAGTTACATAGGGGCGAGAAAGATTGTTCTTTGCTGTACCCATCACTGGAGATCAGCCTGACGGCATCTTCTGCAGGGGAAACCCTCTCCTATTCTTGGTCCTATGCTCAGGTTTAGCCAGAATTGATGGACGCCTTTATCCACATTGGCCACATGCATGTTTGCAACCAACAGAAGAATATTAACACAACCTCCTGGAGTCCTGGGGACCCCATGACACTGAGAGCAAGGTGAAAAAACACTTGCCACCATGGCCAATTCAGCAATGAGGGGAAATTCCCTCCTTTTTACTCCCATTAAAGCGATTGGTTAATGCTCCCAGCAGGCCCAGAAATCTGGTCCTATGTTGAACCCAGTGGAAGAAAAGCTGACAGCAGCAAACCCCATGGTGCCACTGGAAGCCCCATGAAGGGACAAAGTTTATAAGCCCTCCCCTGGACATGTATGAATCAATCAGCTGTGACACAGTCAGGAAGCATGGTGTAGGCCATGCTGCATCTTCCTGGAGCTCACAAGGGCACAGCCATATAGCTGGGGAAGCAGGGGAAAAGCCCCCTTTCAGGGTCCCAGGTGTGTCTTCCCCTACAAGTCCAGGTAAAGCATCCATACTGCTGAGGCAAGTAGTCTGTCGTTGATGTGCCATTGATGTGCTGGTTTCTATAAGAAAAACAAGACAGTTGAAAACCCAACAGAGTATTACACAGTGTTCTAATAACCGTATACAGTACACAGCATTCATCACAGATACAGAAGGGTGTCTGAAAACAGAGTAAATACATGATTATATGATATATGTCCTTAAAAAGGTCATCCACAAGCATATTCCGGGGAAGCCCCAGCTGATGCTGAAATGCAGGAACAGCTGAATTGTTTTAACATTGGCAGTATCTTTTTTTAGTGTTCATTTTGAAACATTTTGTCATGTATATTCTCTTTTATAAAATGATACATCACAGCTGTCAGTTGGTTTCATAGCCTCGCTTTTATAAATATTATGTGCGCACATCGCAGTGGTATTGTTATAATGGGTTACAATGATGTGTTTTTTGAGAGAGTGCCAATGACTGGTTTATATCCTTGGTGATTTTACAGTGTCATAAGAAACGTGGAACAAATCTCTTCCCAAGGTTCAGTAGTTGCTTTAAGCCAATAATGCTGCAGTTTTTTTAATGGATTCCTCGCAGTTTGATATATGGCCTTTTAAAAATTTTGTTTTAATATGGTCAATGAACAGCACTCATTAAGTTTAGGGTTGCCTTTATTATAATCTGGAAATAATTTTAATCTAACTATCACCAACAGCCAAATATAATAAAATACGTGTAAGCCAAATAACATTACACAGAGGCTCAAACAGCTACGCAGTACTGTAACATTAGCATTTGTAACACTTAATTTGTGCCAGGCCTGAGCCTCGGCACCTCTAGGCTTGGCAGTTCATAGCCCCAGCACCTCTGGGCTTGCTGTGTCAGTTATGAAAGTAAAAAAATTGCTTGAGCCCCACTAGAGACATGTAGAAAAGGGGATGTTGAGCTCTTTCATTGAGTGGTAACTTAATTGAGAGGAAGAGCAGTCTGATATTAACTAGGGTTGCTGCAGATAACCTTAAAGAGAATCTGGTTCCCTTTTATATATCTTAGGGGTATCCAACAACTGGACAGTGGATAAGAGATTTTACTTTTCCTCTAGATTCCTGGCTGCCATTCCCTGTACTGGGCCTGGAAGGGCACAACGTTTTAGCACTAAAATTGGTGATTTGCCTGCACTGTAATATCATTCCCAGATGGACTGCTTTCTTCAAGGAAAGCTACTTTAGCATAATCAGCCACTGTGTCAGGAGGCGTCCTTGCAAAATACATAGCTGGCTATGATGTCAAATGTATTTATTTATTGTGCAATTCATAGAAAAAGCTAAATATACACTATAAAAACTTTCATATGTCTGCCAGCTGTGTTATTTGAGATCAGCTAGTGGGAAACATTAGAAAGCATAGGACTGGTAACTTCTTTCCCCTTCACACATGTGTCCTTCTCTTTTCCGGTTCATCTCCCTTATCCTATGACAAAGATGCTGATTTTCATAATAGTTCCTTTAATGCCAGTTGTGATCCAATGTATCCATTGGATTGGAATAATCCCTGGCCTGAACACAGAGGTAGTGTTTTTAAATACCTATGGATTTTGAAGGCCAGTAGAGATTTTGCTTCAGAATCTTCTTTACCTGTCTCTTAGAAGCAGAAAAGCTTCTGCACAACAAGAAATATATTTAGGGAAAATAGTTTAGGCTGCTCCGTGTGACTGTATGCAACGGTCACCATGGAAAAGTTAACACTTGCTAATAGACACCATGGAGTTGTGTGGTAAGATACCATAGTATTTCCCTATAGGGAATAATGGCAGTATTTCATCTACTGTCCCATTCTGCTATAACAATTGGTAAATATTAATAATTTAATGGTAACCAATGCATATAACATTTTACAGTAATACAACTTATAATAAAATACCTCAAGTATTTTGATTTCACAGTGAGTTTTATAAGTAATAAACCTTCTCTTTAGACAAAGAACTTTCCACTATAGAAAAGAAACAAGCACATTTCTAGAAGGAGAAGAAGATCAAAAGCAGTAAGAGGACACAAAAAATCTTTGCCTAAAAAGAAGAAAAAAAAAATCCTCAATGGCCCAGGGCTGCTGCTTTTTAATGTGACAAGCATTTAAAAGTGTAATTGATGGAGCAGCTAACGTGGCTCTTGACCAAAGCAGTTAACATGCTCTAGCAAAGTAGCATTCATAACATGCCCAAAGTCATACTAATACATATTCTATAAAAAAACCACAACCACATCATAAAACAGGGGAAATAAAGATCTTAAATCAATGTATTATTAACATATAAATATATTTAATGTGGGTAGTAAGCTGCAAGCCTTTTCCAGAGACTGAAGAGGTATAAAGTTATCTCACTGTGTCAACCAATAAAATAAATTGAAGCCATTTTTAAAGACTCTCCAGTATACTTTCTTTCTAATATGAGGCTATGAAAGCTACCTTGCTATAAACTAATTACTAAGTGTATTGTCTAGCATTGAGGTTTATGGTGGAAAAGAATTGCCCCTCAAGTTGGGGAAGGGGAGAGGGAAGGATAGCTCATTTATCAAAAATTACTAATGCCTAAAGCCACAGGTCACTGTTCAACCCAAAGAATAATAGTTTCTCCTTTCAACTAAAGGTCCCAGTCCAGTGTGTTTTATGATATCTTCCAATATGTCCTTTTGCCTAAAGTGTGCTGTAGCATCAGTTCCCCTCTGCTGAGACTTCTTGGTATTAACGCTAAGCCACATGTATCTCTCGGTCAGTAGCAAAGCTTCAATTATAGTTGCAGCAGAGGTCTTGAATAAATGAGTTTTGCAGAATGTTTATTTAGGATGTTGCTAGCATCTCTGAGGATGTATAAGAACCACATTCATATACTTGTAATTTGACACTATTTACTTCCTCCCCCGCCCCCAATTGTTTCCTACAGTATTTTTGACAGCACATAATAAAGCAGAAGAATCAAAAAAAGTGCACCTGTAATAGAATAATTGTTGTTGTTTATTTATATTGTTATGGTGCCCCTAGAGCAAACCACACTAGACCCTATACAAACATATTGAAAGACCCAAATTGCTTACAGAATAATTTCAAATGTTGTCAACAAATTCAGATGTCTATAATATAGGGTCATTTTCCTCTGGCCTTTTATAGAACACCAGCCCTATACCTGCTACTATCAAATATCAGATTTACTCTATGCTGGGGCTCTAAAATTTGAGGTTATGTGATTCTGTCTCAGCCAGTAGTTTGCTGGTCAGCAGTGTTACCAGCAGAAGCTGTTAGCCAACTAGGAAACTAACAGAGCAAAATGCTTTTCCCTATATAATTAGTGCATTTTAAAAGGATATTGTTAACGTGAAAATCAAATTTCTAGCTGAAAATGTTGTACCTGTTGGTGTTGCTAATTAATGTAACTGAAGGCGATTAGACAATTATTTTTTCAGTTTGTTTACTTTGTGCATTCCAGAACACACAATCATTTTCACTGTTTGTTGATAATTGCATTTCCTGTCTCATACACTAGTAATACCGCTCTCATGAACACTCTTCCCCAGGCACTGCAAGATTGTTTACCAGCAAGAGTAGCAGCAAAGCTGAAACTTAAAAGGCATTAGGCAGACATGCGCTGCGAGAAGAGGTAGGCTTGAGCATACTTGGTGTGTTGCTAGCAGATCCACCCAATACACCTTTGTAAACATCAGGAGGAAGAGAGAACCCATTTTTAAAAGGTCAGGACATCCTATTTAAAGGTCTGTCTATCAGAAAATAGGTTTTTTTAACATTACTCAATGTTTGTAAATTCAAAGTTAGTGTCTCTCAGAACCGTTAAAAACATGTAAAGCCTGCATGTTGTCATGTCAGGCAGCTGCACTGTTTGGCAGTCCCAAGGTATAGTAGAATAGGGTCTAGCGCTGGGCAGGAAACAGTTTACCAGTCCCAGGAAAAATTTTGACATTTCAAAAAAAAAAAAAAAAAAAAAATTCCTGTCCCAAACGGTGATGAAAAGTGAAATTTTCAAAAACCAATTTAAACAAACAAATGGCTTGGATCAATCAGCATATTTTGTTTTGATAATTTTGAAATATTTTGTTTAGATTTCAGCCTTTTAAATTTAATTGTTTTACTATAAATTACATTTCTAAAAGAAAGTAATTTCAAACAGAAAAATTGAACTTTTCATTTACATAGGAGTCTGGAATATGTTTTGTCAAAAAAATCCCAACTAGCGCTAGATGGGTCCAACTCAAAGTTCAGATCCGGATCTAGATTCTTCTAAACTTTAGAGAGTTTAGATCTGGAGCTTTGGTTCAAGTCCATCTGTAGTACCAGATCTTATTTGTGCATTTGGCTGTTAGAAATAGTCTTAGAATGTATGTTGAATTGTAGCTTTCCCTTACGAATATGATTTGTTTCCCTGTCCGCTCTTAAAGGTCTTTCCCGACATTGTACTAAAACCCATTCTACATAATTTTCATTCAAATTCTTCCCTAAAATTTTAGATTATAATCCTCAAACAATTGACTCAGTGCACGATACCTGACCTTTCACCACTGAAGTCAATGAGAGTTTTGCCATTGACTTTAATAAGCACAGGTTGAAGCCCATGTGTTGGTAACATAAGAGTTACTCCTGACAACATTAATCAGTTTCCTTAAGTAATACAAGAACTCTGGGCACACCAAAATGAAAATGATCCTTAGTTTATAAAGCATGCTGTGGCAGCGCTCTATAATTACATTTACATTTATTATAGGGGCATTTGTGAAATGTCGACATTCAGCTGCTAATGAAACACATTTCTTCAGTGCCTTTCTTCAGACATATTACAGAGCACAGCATATCCCCACTGTTTAGTACTGTACAGTTCCCAAATCTCAGTGGAGGTGGCAATAGGCAAATATTGGCACATAGAGTGTAAGATGAGAAGAACTTCTGATGTTTCTCTGGAATTCCTCCATGTCAGAGGAGCTACAAAGTCCTTGCTAACATGCTATTAAAGTATTTATCAATGTTATCCATTTTATAAGTAATTTAAATTTACAGTGCTATTTTTAGCAG